CATTAATTTCCAAAGAAACACGGAGACGCCTCACGCCTAACATTCACCAAGTTGGGTCATTCAGATGTAGCTAATGAACAGAATTGAGGTGCAACCATCAAATTGTTGCATTGCTGATTTGAGGTCATACAACTTTGATAAGTCATATTTTTACCACTTTAAAGCATTGTCTTCAAGCTCTATTGCTACTGTGAAAAACGAAAATTAAAAATAAACAAACTAAATGAAATTTTTCAATTTTCACAAATTTGTTTTTTTTTTGACAGGGGTTTAGATTGAACCAATTCACACTAAGGATCTTGCTTTCTTCGTCACATTTGATTTTTAATGCTTATTTTGGCTAATAAATCACGGGTAGAATCAGGACCTCTGCTGTTAGGTTGCAAGATGCAGTGAGTTGAATTGCCCTGCAGAGTGCGAGGAGGAGGAGGAAGGCTATTAGCAATTCTAATTGCGCTTATTTCATCGGTGAAACACGAAATCAATCGTCCCCCCCCACAAGCAATCATGTGATCCTACAAAAATCACACGGATTTCATTGTAGTAAACACTGAAGTTTAAACACAATAGAACTTCTAAGATTTTAAGAAATTTAAGTAATGTTTTTTTAAAGTGAGCCTGGAACAACTATTTGATACATTTTTTTCTTTTAAAATTTGCATTCTTTGTAGTGAAATATTTACTATTAAAATTTAATTACGCAAAAGGTCGTTTCAAGTTTCTAGTGTTGCGTTTTTTGGACTCTGGGTATATCTTTTAAAGTGTTCAAGGGCAAGAAAATTTGAAATAATTTGCTATTCTGGGTTCCAATGATGGGTAACTCAGCTTGAAACAGAAAATGTGATTGCCTCATGGACTAAGTGCGCAGTTTCAAAAATCATTTGCGGAATTCACCACCAATGCCACAAAGTATTCCAATACCTTGCATATTTGAACCTTCAACGCCTGAACGAACAGTATTTAAATTTTTTTAGCAGTTGTGCGCGTAGACACATCTCGGTTTTACCTTATTAAGAATTAATTAGAATTAATTTTTTGCATGATCAGCTGGAACATATATTGGACAAAAACCTCCAGCCATTTGCATGCCAATAATGTCAAATGCACTTTCCACGGTTCTCTATTTACTACGCCGTCTATCTTGACAATTTTGGGCTTATTGTATCTACCTTACCTGATTGTCATTGGACACTTATTTGTTGTACAGCCTTTTGCACAAAGAGCCCTTTTCATCTCAATTGACGGAGTCTTGAAGGTTCATATGGCAAAAAGCATTTCCAAACGCTCACATGGTGTAAAGGGTGGAACTATGGCGCCTCTCCTATTAGATGCTTGAATTGAGCGACTGTATAAATTAGTCAACTATAGTTGGAATGGTTAGCCACCTCGGCTGTTGGTGGACGTCAAGAGTGATCGATCATTTGACCTCTGATGCGGCAATTGGACGTGGAGGCCAATATGTCACCTACAAAAGTTAGAACCGTGATTTAAACAAATTTCAGCTGGTCATATTTTATGTAATCAGCAAATCCAATAATTTATTAAACGGAATATTGAGATGAATTCAACATGGAAGGCAAATTATTAGAACTTGTAATTAATTTGTAATTCTAGAGTATTTAGTAAATCTTTCAACTCGTAAATTTAATTTATTAAATCTTAGCTTTTGCACCAAGCTACAAAATTGCACTGTTCGAAGGCTCAATTTAATTTCTGCAGCCAACGGAAAACATCATCATAAAATGTAACTTATTTTGTTAAAATACAATATACTTCTAAGGGTGGTCAATGTATACTCATACGGCACAAAGTCTATTAACTGGCAGTCGACTTCTGACTTCAAACTACCATCACCCCACTGTATATCATATTCCACCACTTTCACAGTACTCACTTCACCTTTTTTCTACCTTTGTGTCTGTCTCTTTTACATCTTTGAAGCACTCTTCTGTTCCCCCCCCCAATCTTAACCTTTTTCACTTTCTTCACCTTTTTTCTACCTTTGTGTTTGTCTCTTACATCTTTTAAACACTCTTTTGTCCCCCCCCCCATCTCGACTTTTTTCTCTTTGATATTCCTTATTTTTTCTACCTTTGTGTCTGTCTCTTTTACATCTTTGAAGCACTCTTCTGTTCCCAACCCCCCTCTCGACTTTTTTTCAATATGATGTACCTTCCGCTCTGTGAAGCCTGAAATCAACTAAAAGGCCATTTGAAGGAAATAAATTTTTGTTAAAATACGCTATTCTAGGCCACCTCAAGTATAAGTGAATTAGAGTTCTAGAAATTGTCCACCATTGTTTCGATAATTGAGGCACTTTCCTATGTTAAATCAATACGAAGATATACTCACTCCTCTGTGCTTATCTGTCTATCAGAAATTTGACAGCTTGTAAGAGGGCTTAATATTAACCAGTGAAATAGCTGGAAAAAATTTGAAATTGTTTACGTAACTGTAAACTCTATAAGTAAGTGGATTTAAATTTGGTGAAACACTTTAAAAATAGATAAGTGTTTAAGTAACCAAAATTTCAATCACTCATGAACGAATCTTTATGATTTGTTCATTTTTCAATATATTTATTATAACCACGTTGCTATTAACGGCAATCAATCATGCAAGGCAACATCAATCATTTTGTACTAACATACTCAATTGTTTTTGCAATTGTTTCATCATTTTTTCGGTTGCATAAAGAATCATTCAGATTATGAAATTGGTAAATTTTTCAAGCCGTTTTTATTATTTAAAATTAAAAACTGATAAGAATTTTTGAATGTTCATCAACAATTAAAGCCACGACAGGCACAATATTGTCATTTTAATGCATTTTATACTCATACTCTCAAACCTATGATATGGAATAGGTTCCACATCAGTGCTGGGTTATAGCTATTTTCAAATATTAACTAAATTTTTTTAATACAATTTGGTGCCTTGGTAATACCTTAATGAATTGTCAATTTCCATTTTATTGTAATTACAAAAATATTCCATCCATAAACTGAAATAGACATTTAATTATAAATATTTTATAAAAGATTAAAGTGCTGCGAAAACAGCCTAATTCAAAATGTTTCTATAGTTTAATTTTGAGCGTTTTACAAGTAATTCAAACATGCGAACTTGCATTTAACATAATTCGTATGGCACTAGCACACGATTCGGAGATTAGTCATAAAGACTGCGTTCAAGCGTTTGGCAATTGCATATTCGTGCACACATAATGCCTTCGTAAATCAAATAAATTAGAACACTTGACATCTTCACCTCTCCCGGTAACTCCCGATCGAAACACCTACATTTCCTTCAATTATAACTCGGCTATTCTGCGAGTTCAACTACGATCCATAAAAAACCATTTTCATTTTCAATGGCCTAATCAGTAATGAGTATAAATTGTAATTACTTAGTGATTACTTCAGAGAATTCATTTCAGTGTTTGGTAATACTTCCTTCAATTAATAGTGCTTTCTCAAATGGTCGATCGGATTCCTTCCATTTCTCGGGTTGATTTTTCCACCCACTGGCCTGCATAATCAGAGTTGAATGACGCAATTTCCAAGGTTCTACAGCGCCAGACTTTGTAATTGTTTAACTGAAATCACATTTGCAAGATCTAAAAAATCAATAATTTTGGTACTTTAAGGTGAACTTAATGGTGTTGTGTTTGTGGAACGTGGATTAAAAACATCGCATAGCACTTTTCCAACATTACTTCCATCGGGAAACAGCTTTGAATGTTTTTGTTTTCAGATTTAATGGATTGTTTAATTCAAGAATTTACATTGCGTCTTTATTGATCCTCTTGATTTTGCCTGGTTCTAGGGAAAAGATTATTTTGATGCAAAAAAAACAATTTCAATAATTAAAAACAAAATGAAAACTCCAGTTGTTTTTGAGTACAAAAATTCAGTAAATGTTCAAAATTAATCTTATAAAGTTTTCTTCTCTGGAACGCAAAGCCTGCCTCATTTGAAGCAAAGTTTTTTCTAAAGTGCTCACTCAGGATCGCGAGTATATCAGTTGGGAATTAAAATTAAATGCTTGGAGAAAAAGCTAAAGATAAATCCTTTTATGTCGAAAAGATGATTTTAAGATAATTTCAGTGTCTACAAGGGTCATACGTCCATGGGATCTGGGTTGTGACAAGAGGTATCGGCCTCAACACCAGTGAAAATATTACAGTCATATTCTTGTTTTCAAAAACATATGCTCGTTTATGTGACCGTTTTAGCGTTCCACGAGCTAAAATAGTAATAATTAATGTCCCATATGCTACTGATGAAATGCTATGACGTAGACATGACATGTTATAGAGATGCCTCTTTGGAAAATTAAGAATTTCTAAGGCATTTGCACTGTCACCTTGCTCGTTAACCATAATAACTTCCAAATTCTTGAAGAGTTCAATTATGTTGAGGATCATTTGATTAGATCAATTGCAAATACATGAATTTAAGAACGGAAATGCTCTTTCCATTGTAACTAACGTAAAACTGAAGTGACTTCAAGGACCCACCACATTATGGGTTTATTAAAACGTATGGATGTATAAGCAATAGTGATCTGCTTGAACCAATTTACAATGGGCTCAATTTTAGGGACATACACTGTATGTTAAAGCTATGCTAAAATCTTGTAAATCATGAAGCGCTTTTTCTAATCATGGATTTTTCACCTCACTCTTAATGAAAAAATGTAAAATATACGTTATTCATAATGTAAACTGTTTTAAATAAAGAAAATAATTTAAAAACTATGCCCGTTGTTGGGGGTATTCATCAAACGTAGAAGAAAAAATGTATTTTTAAGCACTCTTTATAAGCTCATGTCTTTGGCATACATTTAGATTTAAATTAGTCAATCTTTTATTAATTTTATCAATCAGTGAAATTGATTTTCTGATAAATTAGATTATTTCAAGCCATACAGAATTTTTAGTTTAGTATTCAGCTCCGTAAAACAAAATAATGTGGGTTTAATTTGCCTTAAAGTTGAACAAACACACCACGGCCAACACCGACAGTGCTATTTAGCCCACACGAGAGAACTGTGACTCTTCAAGGTCGTGTATTATTATTGGGTGAGGCATTTTGTATAAAATTACGGAGTCAGCTAGCGAAAACATGCCGGATTCTTGGTAAGAACCTTCAAAGAACATAAATTTCTCTCCCCTTCCCCACACACAAAGTGATGTTTTTACTGCATTATTACTTTTTTCAGTCCAATCATGGTTGAAAAGTGTGCGAAATGCCACAAGCATATCGAAGGGACCATAGTTACGGCTATGAACAAAAAGTGGCACAGCGAATGCTTCGTTTGCACTGGGTGTCATTCTCCTCTGGCCGGCCAGTCCTTCCACAACAAAGACGGCTCCCCTTACTGCATTAAATGTCGACAGGAAAAGTTTGATCCAACATGCGATGTAAGTCATTACACCACAATATATCTCATTTTAAAGCCACCTCTTAAATTTAATGCCCCTCTACCTTATATATATATAAATTTCATTTCACAGAAATGCGGTAAGAAGATTGACCCAACAGTGAAGTACACAATTTATCAGGACAAATCGTTCCATCGTGAATGCTTCACTTGCTCGGAGTGCAACCAGCCAATAGAGGGCAAGAAATTCGTCATCAAAGATGGAAAGTACTGCTGCGCTGATCACCTTAAGTAATTCAGACAAACGGATGATATTTCTTGAATAAATTTATTTCCTTTTCCCATTAAAAACCACAAAGCAACATCTCCGCCTTCTTCTTCCTCTTCTTCATTTTAATGGCAAAAAAATTCGTCAGAATTGTAATCTTTTATGCAAGCAGGTAAATAGGTTTGATAGTTTTGTGCTAAACAATATTTTCTTAACAACTTTCTCATGCATTTAAACGCGTCTCTCCTGGAATAAATGTCTAGAATTTTTAAGGTACCTTAAATTTAATTTTATTTTATGGGCTACAAATTTTTTTGCCAAAGTAATAATTAAGCTTCTCACTTTAGATGACAACTTTAAAAAAATATTGTCTTTTACTTAAATGCTGGTTAAAGGATGACAGTACTTGGTTTTAGCAGACACCATTAACTTTACTTTACCGCTCAAATATTTATATTAAGATGTGAAAAACTTACTATATTAAAAGATTCCAAATTCAAAATATCTGACCGCAAAAGCTCTGCGATGGCTGAAATCGATCGGCGTCAGATTGATTTTTTGAAATTTGTATAGATTAGGCAAAGCCTGATTGCACACATTTTTTAAAAGTTTGAAGTAGTCTAACTGGACAAAATAGTTAAACAAAGCAATGTTTTGTTTAATAATAAACAAGCACCTTACTTTCTTATGTGAAATGTGATTGATTTTCTAATAAAACGCAATTCGCGTGTTTTTAAGGCGGGAAAACGTTGCAAGGTTGCAATAATCAATAACAGAGATCAAGTTACTTGTTACTTCACTTTTTCACTTCACTTTAAAATAAACAAAAAAAACACTTCAGGGTTGAGGAAGAAGAAACCTTTATTGAGAAAAAATTTATTTAGCACCTTGCTGATGTTCAATGACGCATTTTTTAATGAAAAATATTGCATAAAAATAAATTTCCTACCAAAAAAGAGCTCTTCCATTTCACCTTCGAGTGGGGGACAAATTAAATTTGTGGGAGAAATGTAGCCAACATTGCAATCTGATTAGTTCTTTGATTTTGCAAAGTCAAAACAAAATAACAGACTCCAAATACGCTTTCAAGGTCATCACTTGGGAAAGTACTTATGAAAAATCTCAAAGAATGTTTAATGTATTTTCCAAGAAAAGTCACAACAATTCTGCTTAAAAGCCATTAAATATAACTTTAAATTTATCTACGTTAAACTCTATGTATAAACTCACAAATTCGTCCTGCTTAAAAAATTTAAAATCGGGTTTATCTTTCGCGTTTGCTCATATTAAAAAAAATGGTTAAGACCGAAAAGTACGGTATTTAGCATAGTGAGCGCAAGTTCTAATCAATTTTTTGACAAGTAAAGTTGACACTATTCACATAAATCACTGGTTCAGTTAGATTTATGAAAAGTGAAAAATAAATTGCTCAGGCGAATGATCAGAATGCAAAACGACATCAAGGCTGGCCAAAGGCAACATTTTGCGCTTAAAATTTATTTGAAAGTTCGGTTGTGCCATTGATGTCCAGTCGAATGCGGACACACCAGCCAACCAACTATCAATATCTGCAAAGTTTAGCATTTTTCACGACATCCCAATGTTTCTCAATACCATAGGCGTGATATCATGCATTTCACGGAGACCCCTGTTTCTGTAATGACCTGCAAATCTTCGGACTTCTTAGAGTTTTACTAAGCTGTAGTTAAAGGTTTATTTAAGTGGCGACTTGTAGAACTATTTTTTATTTCATATGGCAGGCTTTATAATATTTGTTACTAGCTCTTTAGCTGATTTCGGGAAGGTTCATCAAAGTAGGAGAAATTCGAGGGGTGGGAAAAAGAAGAGCGATTCACAGATGTAAAAGAGACGGAGAAAAGGTGAGGTGAGTACTGTGGAAGTGAGCGAATATGACTTACAGTGGGGTCATGATAGTTTGAAGTCAGAAGTCAACTGCCCGTTAATAGTCATTTTTGCCGTTTGAGTATACTTTGTCCAGGGCGCACCACGTGGAGGTAGGTCTGTTGCACACCCCAACTTGTATAAATTAGAAACATGCAAGAAACCCCACTTTGTGCAGTTAAAAACCGCTAACACACACACAAGCACACGAAATGTAAATTTGGATAAATAAAAAAATTAGATTTTTCTTTTAACAAAACTGCAAATGAAATGTGTTGATATTATTTACTAATTCATCCAGTCATTAAATTACAGACTGTGAAATCTATCATTATAAACTAGCCCAATCATGAAAATTGTGACTTGAAGCTTATGATATTTAATTGAGAAATTTACACTCTTCATATGAAGTTTACTGATCCACTACTTTCAAAGTTCAAGACTATCGGTATTCTACTACCGTTAATTTCCTTCCTGATGGAAAAAAGTACAAATCAAATTTTAAAACATCTTAGTATTTAATAGAGACAGACTAAAAGTTGCTCATACGCAAATATCGCGCCATTAAAGGGCAAAATTCTGGCATTTATCCTTGATTTTCATTCATAGGTTGCCATATTTAAAGACTTGGTTGGCAATCAAATGTTATTTATTGGTATTTAGCACAAAGATTTATTTCAATTTTTGCCCATGTTCGGCCAAATTTCGACATTTTAACTCAGAAGTTCAACAATTTTTTTTAGAAGGCGAATTATAATATGCAATTATACTTAAATGTTGAAATAATTGGCCTCTAATATATTAACCTTTCATTTTAAAGCTTTTTTTGAAATGTTTATGTCTAGACTTTGTTGTCACGGTTTTCATCCTTTATGCGAAACAAAAGTTGCGATGTATTTCAGAGGGCCTTCAAAAAAGACCAAAGAGACCGATCAATCTGCCGTTCAATCTCCTCCTATTCCAAAACTCTTGTCTATTTGCCCGCAATTAACTTCTGGGCTCATTCAGAGTGATTTGTTTTTAAAGTGTCAGAGGTGAACGAATGTTCTAACTTTTATAAGATTTTGTTATTAATCAATAAACTAGTTGCCATACTCTAATGCAACCAATTTTTATAAATCTGTTTTGAGAAATGTTAAGTAAAATGCACAATTAAGTAAATAGATATTAAAACTGTATGCCTTGTTTAAAATGAAAAATATCTTATTTCATGAGAAATTTTAAAAAATCTTGAAAAATTGCGTTTCAGACTTAATTTATGAAGTCAGTTATTACGTTCACTGCGTGCATCGATGGGCTTAAAGCCTCGATCTCCGAATTCGCAAGCTTCTGCATCGGCTTCTGACAGATGAAAGTTAAATTTCAACCAGTTGGACATTTAAGTCGATCCGATTCACCACTTCACCTGAAGAATCTTTCAGAGCTAAGACTTTTCAAGGATTTTCGTAAATGAATTTTATTATAAGGGTGGTATTTACTATGAATGATGATTGTTACAAACAGAGCTTTTCAAATATGAATTATTTCTTAAAGGCAGATACTTCCAAAACGGCCTCGATTTGTCCACTCATTGTATCGGCTCCCTGTCAAGGAAATTCCACGGAGAAGAGCGCATGATGACGATTCTGCCTTGGTAAATTAGCGTGAACACTGACAAGTCACTTTAAGGTGTGCTCAAGTATTTGCTCTCCCCGATAGAAAAACGGCAAAAATGTCGATTGCTAAATTTAAGTCAGGAAAATTGTGTTAAACTAAGAATTTCATCATTTTATTCGCAAAGAATTTTCCCATATTTGTCGAAAAATTCTACCAGATTTGAACTTGAAGGCGACAATTTCAATTAAAATTTAAAGGTTTCGCATAAATGCGCTACTTTTTCTCAATGATTTAGTTAATAGAATTATACGATCTTTTCATTGCAAAATATTAAAACAAAATCTATATTTAATCAAAGGCATTCGTCATATTGGTCCATTTTGGCAAAATTGACTAATTTTCCTGTCAATTGCATTGTTTATGAATTCAGAAGGTTAATAAATAATTAATTGCTAATAAATAAATTAATAAATCTTCTAAAGATACCAAGTCCCAAATGTTTTTCCAACTCTAAAACAAGTTTGATACAATTTTTCTAATCAAATCAGATGGTTTGATTTAAGCAAATTCATCTCAACTTGTGTTAAATATCGTCCGCCTGACTCTTAATTAATGCTCTCAATATAAGCTTATCGCATTCAAGTTGGATATTTCTGTTTTTGTTAACTCTTCTGGTAAATTAATAATGAATTAAATTGCTAGGAACGACAGTCAAAATAGATTTAATAAGAAGCGGGTATTTAATAATTCATTTATTACCAATAGTAGGCGTTTTGATATTTATCATTGGTCCTTTAGTTGACTTTGGGCATCACAAAGTGAATTAACTTCAAAATCGCAAAGGTGTAGATGGTGGAACATAAGAGTGATTCACGGATGTAAAAAAGACAGACAGGCACAAAGGTAGAGAAAAAGGTGAGGTGGGTACTGTTGAAATGGTGGAATATGATATACAGTGGGGTCAAGGTAGTTTGAAGTCAGAAGTCAACT